AGCACCAGCGTCACCAAGGTGACCCATGACCCCTGACCCCACTGACCCCCTGACCCCTGATCCCACTGACCTCTGACCCCACTGACCCCACCAATCACAGTGACCCCAGTCGGCCCCAAGGCCACCTCTGGCCCCACTGACCTCTTTGACCCCGGTGACCCCACTGACCACAGCAATCCTAATGACCCCAATGACACCATTGACCCCAATAACCCTGATCCCCTGTCCCCCCCCGTCCCCCCAGAGCCTGTCAGAGGCCGCAGCGGCCGAGCGGCTGCTCCAGGACGGCCCCACTGACCCCACTGACCCCAATGACCCCAATAACCTTGATCCCCTGACCCCACTGACCCCCCCTGTCCCCCCTGCCTCCCAGGGCCTGTCAGAGGCAGCAGCGGCCGAGCGGCTGCTCCGGGACAGCCCCAATGACCCCAATGACCCCAATAACCCAAATAACCCTAATCCCCTGACCCCTCCTGTCCCCCCAGGGCCTGTCGGAGGCCGCAGCGGCCGAGCGGCTGCTCCGGGACGGCCCCACTGACCCCACTGACCCCACTGACCCCACTGACCCCTGTCCTGCTGTCCCCCAGGGCCTGTCAGAGGCAGCAGCGGCCGAGCGGCTGCTCCAGGACAGTCCCATTGACCCCATGACCCCACTGACCCCATGACCCCCCCTGTCCCCCCAGGGCCTGTCGGAGGCCGCAGCGGCCGAGCGGCTGCTCCGGGACGGCCCCAACGAGCTGCGCCCCCCCCGCGGGACCCCCGAGTGTGTGAAGTTCGGTCGGCAGCTGGCGGGGGGGCTGCAGTGCCTCATGTGGGTGGCGGCCGCCATCTGCCTCATCGCATACGGGGTCCAGGAGGGAGAGGGGGACCGAGGGTCCTCCGACAACGTACGGGAACCGGGGGGGGCTGGGGGGAACCTGGGGGGGGAAGACCTGAGACACCTGGGGGAAAACACCTGGGGGGAGAACGTCTGGGGGGACAACACCTGGGGCAACTGGGACACCTGGGGGGCACTTGGGAGGCACCTGGGGGGCACCTGGGGCACCTGGGGAGCACCTGGGGGGCAACTGAGACACCTGGGGGGCACCTGGGGACCTGGGGGGCACCTGGGGGGCACCTGAGACACCTGGGAGGCACCTGGGGGGCACCTGGGGCACTTGGGGGGCACCTGGGGGGCACCTGGGGGGCAACTGAGACACTTGGGGGGCACCTGCAGGGCACCTGGGACACCTGGGGAGCACCTGGGGGGCAACTGAGACACCTGGGGGGCACCTGGGGGACAACTGGGGGGCACCTGGGGGGCACCTGGGTCCACCCCAGAGGGCGCACCTGGAAGCCGGGGCCGGGGGAACCTGTGGGGGCTCCGGATGCCCCAGGACCCCCCCTGGACCCCCGAGGACGGGGTTACCTGGGCACCAGGTGCTCACCTGTCCCCCCCACGCCCCCCCAGCTGTACCTGGCCATCGCCCTCATCGCCGTCGTGGTCGTCACCGGCTGCTTCGGGTACTACCAGGAGTTCAAGAGCACCAACATCATCGCCAGCTTCAAGAACCTGGTCCCGCAGGTGGGGATTCCTTCTCCCCCCTGCCCCGCCCACCTGGGGGCCTCACCTGTGCCCTCACCTGTGCCCTCACCTGTGCCCTCACCTGTGCCCCCCCCAGCAAGCCACGGTGGTGCGGGACGGGGCCAAGCAGCAAATCAACGCCAACGAGCTCGTGGTCGGGGACCTGGTGGAGATCAAGGGGGGCGACCGAGTCCCCGCCGACATCCGCGTCCTGGCGGCACAGGGCTGCAAGGTGGGCTCGGGGCTCACCTGGGGATCACCTGGGGCTCACCTGGGGCCCACAGGTGGGGCTGTGACCGCCCGTGTCCCCCCCATCCCCCAAAGGTGGACAACTCGTCGCTGACGGGGGAGTCGGAGCCGCAGACACGCTCGCCCGAGTGCACCCATGAGTCGCCCCTGGAGACACGGAACATCGCCTTCTTCTCCACCATGTGCCTCGAGGGTGGGGACGGGGCTCACCTGGGCTCACCTGGGGGGCTGGGGCACACCTGGGCTCACCTGGGGGGCACACCTGGGCTCACCTGGGCTCACCTGGGTTCACCTGAGCTCACCTGAGGGACACCTGGGGGGCTGGGGCACACCTGGGCTCAGCTGGGCTCACCTGGGCTCACATGGGGGGCTGGGGCACACCTGGGCTCACCTGGGCTCAGCTGGGCTCACATGGGGGGCTGGGGCACACCTGGGCTCACCTGGGCTCAGCTGGGCTCACCTGGGTTCACCTGAGCTCACCTGGGCTCACCTGGGGGGCTGGGGCACACCTGGGGCACACCTGGGGGTCAGGGTCCCACTTGGGGGTCTGGGTCACACCTGGGTTCCACCTGGCCACCCGACTCCCTGTGCTCTGTCCCCTTCCCACACACCTGTCCCCCCCCTCACCTGTGCCCAGGTACGGTCATGGGGCTGGTGATCCCCCCTGTTACCCCTCACTGGTGATCCCCCTGTTACCCCCCACCTGTGCCCAGGTACAGCCACGGGGCTGGTGATCCCCTGTTACCCCTCACCTGTGCCCAGGTACTGGTGATCCCCCCTTCACCCCTCACCTGTGCCCAGGTACTGGTGATCCCCCCTTCACCCCTCACCTGTGCCCAGGTACGGCCACGGGGCTGGTGATCTCCACG